TACCACCCACCCACGACCATCACCCTTTCCCCCGATCCCCACTCCATCCCCCTCCATTCCCATCTCCCCACCCTCATTTCCCCACCCCCACCCCACCCCTTAAACATGTACTACATACGACCACCTACTCCACAGTATGACTCTCCCACAGCCAGGCCTCGGGCAGAATCCTCTTGATATGCTCCACCTCCAGGAAGAAATCCTGGGCCGCTTGCTCCTGCAGAATGTCCATAGGCGGCCCCATGGCGTTGTAGTCCCCAAGGTTACCCATTCCGGGGAACACCTCTGGGATGGCCTTGCCTTGGGCTTTGGCGTGGGCCTCTGCTTTTGCTTCTTCGGTGAGTGACTCCAGGACATTCTTGCCAAGAGGGTAGGGGTTTGGCTGGGTCTCTCCAAGTGGTGGGCCTGTGATCAAGGGATGGTGTGTGAGTAGTCGGTCGTGGGTGAGTGAAAGAAATGGTGAGTGAGTAGTGAGTGAGTAGTGAGTGGGGAGTGAGTGGTAGGATTGTGGGTGAGTAGTGGGTGGTGGGTGAGTGGAAGAAATGGTGTGTGAGTAGTTGGTGGTGGGTGAGTGGAGGAAATGGTGTATGAGTAGTAGATGGTGTGTGAGGAGTGGGTGGTAAATGAGAGGAAAGATTGCGGGTGAGTGGCGGGTGGTGGGTGGATGAGGTCCCACCCTCTTTACTTATTGATCCCCCCCCCCGCCTCTCCATGCAGACTCAAATACTCAATTCATCCCTTCTCCTATTCTTCCAATTTGGTGGATGGATGGTGGGTGGTTAGTGGATTGGGGGGGGGGGTAGTTGGTGAGTGGTAGGTGATTCTTCTCTTTACACCCCCATTGACACAATTTGCATGAGAACATTCTTTCCAAAGGGATAAGAGAGTGGCTGGGCCACACCTCGTTGTGAACTTGTAGTAGAAGGGTAGTGGTTGGATAACGGGTGTATGATCGGTGGATGGTGGTTGGATGGTAGGTCGGGGGGTTATCGGTTGGTGGTTGGGGGATGAATAACATTGTTGATGTCGCCCTCTCTCTCTCCCTCTCCCTCCCCCCCCTCTCTCTCTCTCTCTGTTTCTCACTCACCCCCTCTCTTTCCGGCAGTATATCTCTCTTTCTCTCCTCCAGTCTCTCTTCCCGTCTCCCCCTCTCTCTCTCCGTCCCCTATCTCTCCCTCTCTTTGTCTCTCTCAATCTCTCTCTCTCTCTCTCTCTCTCTCTCTCTCTCTCTCTCGTTTGATTAACGAGTTTTTTGACTTTGTTGTTTCAAACTTATCCTCTAACTCCCATTTATTTTGTCACCTAGCTTGACTTCTGCAAACTGAGATCTGATGCGGCATGCTGGCATTCGGAACAATCAATCAGGTTCTCATTACGAATGATTGGATTAAAGTAAAACTATTAGGAACTGAAATGGAAAAGAAGAAACTTCTTTCAAAAGCATTTTTCAACGTTATTTTCCGAGGCCATGATTCATAAGTCTGGGTC